ATTTCCTCAACACCCACAGGCAAGTGGCTTTTCCCCATGATAATGGACTCGCTCCAACATACCATCCAAAACTATCAAACCTTTCTCCATCTTCTATTAGTGTTAGTTACTTTCACTCCACACGGACGAGATGCATGCGTTAGAAATCCTGTTTAACCTGAATGTCCTTTCATCTATATAGATTGAAGTGTTTAAATCCCAATTTCTACTGTGCTCTACCCTTATGCAGAGACCTCGGCTACTTCACGAAGATTCACCTTATGCAGACCGGTCTCCACGTGCTTCACCTTATTCTCTCCTACATGGCAATGCTGATCGTGATGACCTACAATGTCTACATGTTCTTGGCTATCGTTCTGGGTGCTATGTTCGGCTACTTCATCTTTTTTAGGCGCCGCTTCGTCATGTTCAACGAGCAGGACTGCTGTCACTGAGGTGACAGCGATTTCTCTCTCTCGCCCAGCGGAATTCCCCATTCACTCTCTCTGAATACTTTTAACTGATCAAAAACTGCCTCGATTGTGCCGTCCTTGTCTCTCCCTTTTCTAGTCGCTGTCTGCTCCCCGTCGTAAAGACCGTTTAACGTATTGTGCAGTCCTGGAGTAGTAACTGCTCCGAAGTCTTTCATTAACAACCGCCCTCCTGTTTCCGTGTTACCTCTTGTTGCCCCTCCGGTACGGAGAGAAGGAAACAGCCACCTCCTTGCTCTCTGCTCCCCCCTTTTTTCGTTTAATACTCTGCCGTATCCCTGTTGTTTGTTTGTCCTGCTCGAACCTTTTTTTATATACCAGAAGTGACTTACTGTGCCCTGTTTTTGAAGTGTTCAACCTCATCATTCGGGAATTCGATTTGGCGCTGCTGGTGGTCTGGCTCGTAGAGAATCACAGGCACTGTTGTGGGTCACTGGGACACTTAGAAATCAGATGGGAAGAGGGGGGATGAGTTAGTAGATTAGGTCTGTAATTATCATCTGAAGAGGTCTGTGCGCGACTGGAGTTTATCTAAATGGCCTACTTACCCGAAATAGTTAAATCCAGAGTCACACTCTTTGTTGTGACCAAGGGGATAGAAGCCCTAGCGTTGGCTTAATCAGCATCACCTCTGACGAGTGGTGGCGTCAGTGCCAGCATCACTACTACTACTACACATCTTGTCGAGATTGAGGGAATATGAGCCCAGTGCTGACTTTTATCATCGTCACTTACAAAACAGTCAGTAATAGTACCAGCAAATACAATCCCTAAGCTACACCCTAGTAAACAGTATTAGAAGTAGTAGTAGTATTGGTA